CGACTCTGTGAGCCTGCTCCATCTCAATTTCTTGATGAATTTGCAGTTTATTCTTCAGAACCTCCTTCACTTTGCATTCCGCTTCCGACCAGCTTTCTCCAGCTTTCTCCAGCTGTCTCCTTGATTCCCTCAAAGATCAAGTTTTTTCGCTTGGACTGTGCTTCCATTTGCTCCATTTTATACGTAATAGTTATTAGTCTCTCACGGGTTTTGTAGACATCCCGCCTAGTGTCTTTGGCAATTTTTTCCTGCACCCCCACGGCCGCTTTAATCGCGTCCACATCTCGCTGGGTAAACTGCAAACTCGTTTTTATCTCCTGTATTTCTTTGGTCATGTCGTCGAGTCTCTTGTTATTTGTCTCCATCATTAGTTTCACAAAGCCTTGGAAGCTTTCTTGCTGTTGGCACAAAAGCGCGGTGTACATCAGCTTCTGCTGATTCAACATCTCAGCTACTTGCGCCGCTGAAATAGAATCTTCTTCAGCCTCAACATCCTCGCTCGCTTCTGGTTTATTAGCTCTTTTCCCTCTTGGAGGCATTTTAATAGTTGTAGAATTTGTTCAAAGACTTGACAATGTAGAAGATGTGAAAAGTCATAGAACAGACAAGAGGAGCAGTAAAGACGTCTGCTCTCGCCGCAACCCGGAAAAAAAATTTGAAATATGAAATATACCATATTTTCCTTCCTTTACAAACACGTAGTTTTTGCACACAGTACTAATACAAACAGTGTGATCAGACCTTTTGTACAAATGATGCAAATATGCAATCATTTCACATTGTTTTAATCTTGCCCTTATCATCTGATGTTTTCTTTATACACTGATAAGCCATAACACTTGGTTGATGCACGTGGAGAGTGAAGGCCAGCCCGTGTTGTCTGATCACACAGAAGAGCTACTGTAGCTGGAAAATGCAATGCTGGTTCTGTTAGAAAGATGTCAGAACACAATGCATTAAACCTTACTGTGTATGGAGCTGCATAGTTGCAGATGCATCAGAGTGGCCATGCTAACCCTTGTCCACCTCTGAAAGCAGCTACAATAGGCATGTGAGGCTCAGAACTGGACCATGGAGCAATGGAAGGTGGTGGCCTGGTCTAATTAATGGCGTTTTCTTTTACATCATGTGGACTGGCGGGTGCGTGCACATCACTTGCCTTCGAAAGAGATTACACCAGGTGCAGAGGAATTGTGATGCTTTTGGCAATGTTCTGCTGGAAAACCTTGAGTCCTAAACATTGCTGCAGACTAAGTACACCCCTTCATGGCAACAATATTCCGTAATGGCTGTGGCCTCTTTCAACAGGATAATGCACCCTGCCACAATGCAGAAATGGTTCAGGAATGGTTTGAGGAGTACAACAATGAGTTTGAGGTGCTGACTTGGCCTTACACAATATTAGGCAGGTGGTCATAATGTTATGGCTGATCAGTGTCTGTTACTGTATGATTTTATAATCCTATAAATATTTACTTACAGTATAACATTTGTTTAGGTATAGTTTAAATTTTAAGTATTATCTGCTCAGTTTTTTGCTTGCAACTGTCTTAGAAGGGTGTTAATTCAACTGCATGATCACTGTGGAGGTTTTAGTTTGAGCTGCTGTCAACTGCCTGCCCATATTGACGTAAAAGTGGTGGACAAAATAAGAGCAACACCTGTCAATATAACACATTCACAAGATACAAGTATGGACTTTACTCTGCTAATACCCCCTGCACACAAACTGCAGTGAAGGCCATGATTCACCTTTAGAAGCCTTTTTAAATGTTTATAGTTTAATTTTCAACTTATTTTAATGCTTGAGACAGCACATAAACCAATTAATTCCCTCTCAATAGGAGTGCAGGCTTCTGAAGCAGTTTAGTGTTTTTCCTCAGCCTGAAAACTGACTCAGGGCAGTCAAGAAAAAAGTCAGTGTTGGCAAGGCAACGCTGTGAGGGGCTTCAAGGGGACAATTTTGCCAACTATTCTATCCAACAGGGCTCTGCCATTAAAGTTCTGTTTTATAGCTATGAAATCCACTTCAATTTGTATAATATCACCTCTCTGTTTCCCTGCTGAAGGTAACATTGTCCATCTCAGTTGGCTGACAAAGTGACCCTGTGCATCACTGTCTTTAGAAGTGGGAAAAGTAAAGACAGAGCCAGGGAAGCCAGTAGACTGGCTGTCTCCTCAGCTATGTGAATACCACTATTTAGAGTAAGACTGTAATTGACTCTTTATCATCATTATGATCCCACAGCAAAAGAGAGGGAGATGTAATCCCCCCCATTCCTCCTCACTGGTTGTTTTCAAAGTATAAATTCCAGTAGACTTTCAACATTTCTGGGCAGAGTTTCCATGAAAAAAGAAAAAGTAAAGTGTTATTGTATTTTTACATGTATTTGTTCTTTCTGTGTTTACCTTTTTTTCTTTTCCTCTTCATTTCTCCTTGCTTTTATGTTTGCTTCCTTGTGTTCCTCTTTTTCTTTTCTTCTTTGTTTACCCTCACCCTACATGTATATCAAATGAAGCCAGGCTTCTCCAGGAAATATGACTGCATTAAGTACTTATATGAAGTCTAATGTTTCAGTACAAGATAGACTTTTTTCTTGGTTTTTTGTTTATGTGACTGAGGTTCAGTGTTGGAACAGCACCCAAACATTACCCAGTGTAGACCCCTTGACTAATAATCTTGGTTCTCTCTTGGAGAAAACAACACTGAGGCAGAAAGAGGTCTGTAGTTGAAGGCAATTATCATTTAACGATTTTCTGCTTTTTCTTCTTCCAGCAGCCATTACCCTTGCACGCACCTGAAATTTACAGAGAAGAGATGTGTATGTGTGTGTGTGTGTGTGTGTATTTTGGGGAGTGTGAGTTTGATCTGCTCTGTGGAAACAAGAGACAGAAGTAGAACTCAATGGCACTAACTCAAACCTGAAACTGCCACATTCCTCACTATCAGTGATTATTGACAGAATAGAATGTATCAGAAGATGATACAGTAAAGTGTACATTTTTGGAGGAGGCATGCATAAAATCAATTTGCTTCCTCACTACTACAAATTTTAATTTAACATTATTTATTTGAATAAATTCCAATAGAAAAGAACAACTAATTGATCACTAAAAGGAACCCATGTCATTGTGAAGAGCTAAATTAAAAGTGCTGATATTTTTGTTGTGGTTTTACACACAGACCCAACAATTTCCCAGTTCAGTTCATTTTATATTCACACTAATTTGAAGGAGTTCACTAAGTAGAACCAGTAGAATTCTACATGAATGAGTGAAAGGTTAGTATAATATCTAAATATTTATCCTTCTTCTAGACACAAACACACACACACACACCCACAGAGATTTTTGACTGACCAACTGCTTCCTCAGGTGTCCAGTAGCCTGACGTGTCACAGATACGTGGTGATGTAGCGGCGTAGGCATACTGGTGGAAAACGCCATCCTTCTCACAGTCTCCACAGCTGATACCAGATACATGAAATGAGGAGCTAAGAAAAACACAAATGGAAAAGAAAAGAGTTCCTGATTATAAAATGTCAGATGCTTTGTCATTCAGCAGGTCAAATGTGTCTGTTTTAAGAGCAGAACTACAGTAATGTTGGACCAGCCTTTTTATTTTACTCTAGATTGGCAAATAAATGAAGCAAAAGTAAACCTAGAACAGGGTAAACATACAAGATAACCTGAAGAGAGAGAAATTCCAGTTGCCGGTCAAAAACTGATGACTGGTGGAGGTCAGCTGCTGATAGAGTCAGCACAGTATCTGAATTCAGTGCAGTAGGTTATAATTGGCCACACTATAATCTATTTGGGGGCAGCCTTTGGGGGACATCTTTACATGTTGATGAGGAGACACTGAATGCACCATCATCTCAGCAGGTTCAGACCCATTCTGGCCTGTGTCCTTTGGAAACATAGTATATGGGCTCTGTTTTCATACAGGAACAATGATAGTGCTGGGGTAAAATGCAGTTTGTAATGCCATTTTCCTTGAGCGGTAATCTTTTGCATCTGTGTACCAAACAAACATATTTGACAGATAAAGTAGGAGAGGTGCGGCTTAGACTGTGTTGATAGTTATTACCTCTGCCAAGGGCTGGGGTAATGTTTTTGCTGGCATTTGTTGGTTTGTTTTTTAACAGCATAACTCAAAAAATAATGAATGGATTTTGATGCATTTTTTGGAGAGGTAGGGTACAGCCCATGGAACAATTGCCGTAATGTCCGGACTATAAGCCGCACCGGACTATAAGCTGCACCCACTAAATTTAAGACGAAAAAACATTTTGTACATAGCTGCAGGTGTCCACGTTGTAACATGAGATATTTCGACAGCCAGATCGATCGCCTGTAACTTGAAAGCTTCATCATATGCATTTTGTCGTGTGTTTTCCATGATGAGGGTGTGTGCATGAAGCGAAAAAAGCTTATATTCTGGAAATTACGGTGATTTGATTTTGGTGCTGATCCATTGCATAATTTGCATAAAGGAATCTTTTTTTTTAAGATTATTGACCACTGTGAGTGTTGCACAGGCTTTGGAGGTGCATTCTGGAAGCTAAATGTCAGCACTCCTCAGAAAGTAGTACTAAAATTAAGTAACAGGAACACGAGGGGGGGTGGGGTGTGTGTGCAGAGCAGTCACTGGTGATTGGTTAAATTTCAGCATCTTCACACCTCAAGCATTAGTGTTAGCATCAGCTGACTGCGTGTGTGAGAGAGGAGCAGCCCCTCCCTCTTGTAAACAGAGACTGACAAGAGAGAAAATACAATGGAAAAACAAAGCAGGATGGTTCGCGTCAACCCCCTGGAGGTTCTGCTTGGTAATGGTTAAGAGAAATACAGGGTATGCTGCCTGGTAGGTTCTGATAGTGGAAAGAAGCATACATTTCCCTGGGTGACCAGAGGTTTGCACTCTCTGAGTGCTGTCTAGTATTAATATTTGGGTGGGTTTGTTTGTTTGTTTGGGTTGTATATTTTTTTGAAACTTCAAGTTTTACATTAAGATGAACATTTTCTCTCTCTCTCTCTCTCAGAGACCTCAGCCTCTTTACCTCCATACTTTTAAAATGGAGGAGCAGAACTGATTTAACTGGCTATTACTGAAGCCAGCCCTCCACTGGACTTCATCTGCTCATAATGCATTCCTCTCACTACTAATGTATTCAGTCTCTTTTCCACATTTCACCAGTCTCCACTGGGTATGCACCGAAAACTGTGGTCTCCAAAATTGCAAACATTTGTTGGGCATCTTTTTGCTCCTTTTCCCAAAGTTTAGACTTGAGTTTGCATCTATGACCTATTCCCGTAAAACAGAATCCTAAATTTTGGGAGTTCCATACAAGTATGTCTACTTGCATAAGGGCAAAGAGGCAACATATGCAATACACTGCGAGCAGTGCTGCCACTCATAGCAACTGCACATGCTAACATGTTTCCCAAAGATATTTTGGGCTGAGGTGGATTATTCTTTGTCAATATAGGTCCCGGATTATGGTGGAATTACTTACTATGAAGAGACAAGTGCAGAAAACATACAAAATTTAATTTGGAGCATTCTTTGAACAAATAAATAATTACAGTTAAGAACCCATGTAATCATACCTTTGATAAAGTGGTCCCCTTGTAGGTGGTACCCAGTAGACAGAGACAGAATCTGAACTCTGGCCAGTTACTATAGGGGCCAGAGGGATGGGAGCAGGTTGATGGTTCGTCAACCACTTCTGGTACACCAGGTCAAGATAACAGTGCATCCTAGCCACTTGATTGGGAGTGAAATGGTTGGTGCAGTTGTCATCTGGTGTGATGCAAATAAAGAAAATAATCCAGTTAATCACCATGGATCAGTTTCAACCACACTATCCTTTTAAATTCTGTGATTCCATGGTTGGAAATAAGTACATTGAACTAGTACCCTGACTGCAATAACTATGCTGAACTTTTTTGTGAAACTAATAGTCTAATAGGTTATTTTGAATGAGTAAAACAATCATAAACAATATAGGGGCAGTTGCATTCAGATGTGAAAATAAGCCATTGACCTGACTAATTATGTAATGGGACATTCCACAGTTTGTTTGTTTCAAGTACTCTATCATCATTCTAGTAATAATGTAGGCTTACAGTATACAGTTCAATTTGCAGTGCCATGTAATTGGCCTGTTCTGTGGATCATTAATTATTTTCAACATTCTGACATTACACCTGCTGTTAATTAGAAGCAAAGTTAAAAATGTTTATCTACTGTGCAATACCTGTATAGCTCATGTAATTGCTAAAAGGTGTGTCCTGGTACATGATGACTCCACAGGTATCATTAACACCTTCAGGATCATGGCAGGCTTTGGATTTGGGTGTTGGGGCAGTGTCGGCACAGAGATCTCCTGTCTCCATTGAGGGGGTGGTCTCCTGAAATTACATATGACAGAGCTAAAAGCCAATGCTACTAGCTGTCAGCTTTATGAAAGAAATAGCTTCCTACATCCACCCATCCATCGTTTCATTTTCTTCCACTTATCCAAGATTGGGGCACGGTGGCAGCAGGTTCGATAAGGTAGCCCATATGTCTCTCTCCCTGGCAACATATTCCAGCTCCTCTAGTGGGATTCCCAGGCCAGATGAAATATATAACCTCTCCAGCGTGCTCTGGGTCCACCCTGGGGTCTCCTACCATCTTGATAAAATGTCCTAACCACCTCAACTGGCTCCTTTTGACTTGAAGGAGCAGTATTTCTACTCTGAGCCCCTTCTGAATATCTGAACTCCACACCCCATCTCTAAGGCTAAGTCCAGCCACCTTGTGAAGTAAACTTTTTCAGCCGTTTATATTCGCAGTTCTATTCTTTCAGTCACTACCAACAGCTTGTGACCATTGTGAGGTTTGGAGTGTAGACTGACTAGTAGCCAGCTCAGCTTCTTTAGCATGACAGTCTGGTACAATGTCCGCATTACTGCTGCTGCTTCCTACATGGTGATTAAAAAACATTATCAAGAAAAGTACACTTTAACAGTCCTACCTGACATGGGTCATCACAGGAGTCCCGCTCGCTCACCCCTTTGAAGACATGGTAAAGTCCGAAGATGTGTCCCATCTCATGGATCATGGTGTTATGGTGCCCCACTGTACCAAAGTAGGATGGGTTCAGCACCATCCCACCTGGTCACAAGACACAACATTTACAACACTTACTCTATATTATTAGTAAGATCCATGATTTTTTTGTGTGTTTTGATAAGTCTGTCAATAAATAATAAGCATACAGTCTAATGGCTGCAAAGTGAGAAAAAGAATTGTGTCTCTGTGGTCAAACAAAGGTACAGTTGCTCTCATTTTCAAAATTGTAGCACTTACATTAGTGATGTGTTACCTTCTGTGATTCTACACATTGCCAGGATTTCATGATTTGGAAAACTTGCCTTAAACTGGTGAACCAGATTACTTGGGTATGACTTGACAATAAAGACATAACAATAAAGCCCCTTTTGTATAATCTGATGCCATCTGAATGTGTCAACTTCATGTCAATGGTCACTCCCAGGTAAAGGTTATGATGGCAATTTTACTAGGTTGGACCTTGTAACAATTACTCTACACATCACACCTTCAAAACTGAATAAGTCTGAGCTGGATGGAGCTGCTTTAAGAGATATGCAAACACAACACTAACCCAGAGAATTTTCATCATTCATTCTGGTTGGAGTGTATATAAGACTGCAGGCCCACGCTAGTGCACTACAGCACCTGGCCGAACAGATAACTAGCGTGGAACTGAAACATCCCCACTCATTACTCTAGGGGAATTTAACAGAGCAAATCTCACCCATGAACTGCCCAAAAACAGACAGCACATCAGTTGTCCCACCGGGGGCAAAACCACATTGGACCACTGCTACACAGTAATAAAAGATGCCTATCGCTCTGTCCCCAGTGCAGCCCTCGGTCTGTCTGATCACTGCATGGTCCATCTCATCCCAGCCTATAGGCAGAAACATAAAGGTATGAACCCTGTGGTTAAAATGGTTAAGAGATGGACCAAGGAGGCAAAGTCAGAGCTACAGGCCTGCTTTGGCTGCATAGACTGGAGTGTATTTGAGGCTGCATCTACAGACCTGGATGAACTCACTGACACTGTGACATCATACATCAGCATTTGTGTGGACGTGTGTGTGCCCACTAAGACCTTCTTCATATACAACAGTAACAAGCCCTGGATCACAGTAAAACTCAAGCAGCTTTGTTATGTCATAGAGGGGGCCTACAGAAGTGGGGACAGGATCCTGTACAGCCAGGCCACGAACACACTGACAAGGGAGATCAGTGCAGCAAAAAGGAGCTACTCTGAAAAACCAGTGACTCCTTGTCTGTGTGGAGAAGCCTGAAAAACATCACTAGTTACAGGAAACCATCCCCCCCTGCTGTGGAAGACCATCAACTGGCAGACAACCTGGATGTGTTTTACTGTAGGTTTGAGAAGCAGAACTCCACACTCCTCACCCACCTCGGACCTAGCAGCTGCTCCCCCCATGATCACCTTCCTTCACCCAAGCTGCCTACTCCTGAAGTTCTGTTAAAAGGAATATGTGTGGCATTTTTAAAAAACAAAAGATCATAAAGACAACAGGCCCAGACGGTGTGACCCCCTCCTGCCTGAAAGCCTGTGCTGATCAGCTGGCCCCCATCTTCACACTTATCTTCAACAGGTCACTGGAGCTGTGTGAAGTCCCCCCTTGCTTCAAACACTCCACCATCATCCCAGTCCCCAAGAAACCCTCCGAGAGACTGGTGTCGGCCCACCCAAAGGACACTGTAGACCCCCTGGTGGAACACCTGCAGTTTGCCTACCAGGCAAACAGGTCAGTGGATGATGTAGTCAATATGGCACTGCATTACATCCTGCAACACTTCAAGTCCCCAGGGGCCTATAGAGGGGTCCTCTTTGTGGGCTTCAGCTTGCCATTCAACATCCTGGATATGCTCCACTCTAAACTGACCCAGCTCACTGTGCCTGCCCCCAACTGTCAGCGGAACACCAGCTTTCTGACAGATAGGAAGCAGCAGGTGAGACTGGGGAAATTCACATCCAGCACCCTGACTATCAACACAGGCACCCATCAACCTGGAGCTGAACACACTCAAAACTGTGGAGATGACAGTGGACTTTAAGAGGAACCCCCTTAGCCTACACCACCTCACTATACTCAGCATCACTCTATCAGCAATGGTGTTCTTCAAGTTCCTGGGTTCCACCATCTCTCTCACACACACAGCACATTACAAAGCACATTGAGAGCCACTGTACTGCAGAGAAATTCCATGTGTATTCAACAACAAATCTGATTTTGATTCTGATTTTAATTTAATCAACCAGTAATGCTTAGGTAGTAAATTTATAATCAAATATAAGCAGAAATCTCATAAAATTTACTTAAAATATAAATAAATTAGCAAATTACTATAACTCAGTTATAAAATCTGATAATTCCATCACCAGTTTGTGTAAGGTGACTTTGCTTTTCTTTATTGAATGCCCCATTTTTTTATTAGAGAACAGCTGGCAAATGGGTGTGAGCGGCAACAGTAGTATAGAACCCCCACTGCTGATTGTTTGGTTGTTGTAAGGTTGATTCGGCTTTTCCAGTGGAAAGGGGACTAATGATTACAAGAGGAAAGAGGGTCTCTCAATTGCTCTCCCAATCTTTTTATATATGGTCAAAGCAGACCACGAAGGATGAAGGGCAAAGAAAGATATGAAGGGAACAATATACAGAAAAAAGACATAGAGAAAGAGGGACAAGGACAAAATTACAATGTAAAACTGGGAATAGAGGAAAGAGGAAGATGAAAAACAGAAAATGTTACAGAGACAATAAAGTCAATAGAAACATGGGAGAAATAACATTCTAACTGGTAATTTGATGTAAATATCTTCACCTTGGTGGGTAAGGGCCTCCTTTTGCCATGGCCAGGTTGCAGCTCCTGCCAGCTCTTCACGTACTGAGTTGCTGGCAAAGAAAACATTGAGCGTGTCAGTGCCGCTCAGGTATAGCGCCTCCTTTAGCTCTTTCACACTCATATAGGCCCTGTAGAAATGGAAAACAGATAACACTAACATTAGAATGCGAAATCCACCACCCACCATCAAATTAACAGCTGCATTGTGCAATTGATGTATACCACAGACATCCATAAAAATAAACTGAGCTGAAAAAGGGAATAAGAAATAAATGTCCCTGGTAAATCAACACTATATACAGCACAAATTTAACCTTCGTTTTTGAGCTAAACTATTTTCCTTGTTTCTTTAGCAAATAAAGATGGTGGACCAACTTTAATTAGAAAGCAATCCAAAATAAACCTACTATGTCATTTTTTTTGCTTTTTAAATTAAAAATGCAACCCAGTCTCACAGAAAAATGTATAATGGCTTGGTCAACCACCCAAACATTCTAGTCTCACAATTAAACCTCCAAAACTGTGATATTGAGGTGTTTTCTGGATCCAAATTGTGACCTCTTTCTGGCAGCGAAAACGAAAGAAAATGGTAAATGGTCTTATACTTGTATAGCACCTTTCTATGCTTTACAGCACACTCAAAGTGCTTTCACACTATTTGGCCATTCACCCATTCATACTCCCAAACACACACACATTCACACACCGGTGACATCACCGGGAGCAACTGGGGGTACAGTGTCTTGCTCAAGGACACTTCGACATGTTGACTGGACAAGCCGGGAATCGAACCGCTAATCCTCCGGTTATGTTTAGGCACAGAAACTAAGCCTACAAAAATTGTAATGTATAAATTACAGCCTTGGGGATAGGGTCAACTAGCTAGAGAAAATAACCGTATAGCTTTTGTGCTACATTAGGCATAAAGAAATCAAATCTCCTCTTCTAACCCTAGGCTTTATGGCAAACGTGTATTTTCCAGAATGTTAGAGTATACTTTAAGTACAGTGGTGGTGTCAAAATTTTGGTTTTAACTTTTAAAATGTTTTTCAACAATTTTCACATAACAGATTATTGTTCATGTTGTATTTCTGAAGCAGGGAGTAAAGACTAATGTGTAAATTCAGCTGTGTGGTCAACTTTATTAAAATTACTAAAATTACTAGTCTTCACCTCAGTTACTTCAAATGTATTTGAATGATTTGTTTTATGTTGGTTTCTTCAAAACAAAGTTTATGCTTTTGACTGAGCTCAGCTGTAGTACTAAAATTATTTATTATTACTTAACCACTCAACTTGAAAAGGCTAAAAGGGCTTTTTTTCCACTATTAGAAATACAATTTATATAACTGCTTATTAAAAATACTCTTCAGGTTTGGCTCAGTGCTGCATACATTGTTCCAACAGCCTGAAGGATAGACAGGTGAGCCTGTATGTTATGGTATGATCTCAGCTTTCAGCTGGGAAAAATCTAGATAGATGAAATAAGCAGTAATCCCCATCGTCTCATACTCACTGTCAATGTAGCATTAAGTGAGGCACTTCACCTCGAGCTTGATCCAAAGGTGTTGCTCAGCAGCCAAGAGTCCTGTGTGTCTATAATCCTCCCCCTAATGTAACCCTTCCCTGAGTGCATGTGTACTGTAAATAAGAATCTGCTTTCTCAGGCACCTCGCCTAACTAAATAAGGTTTAAGATTTAAGAAGATTCAGGGAAACCCTGCTCTTATAATATTACTGAAATTGAGTTCAGCTGAGGCTATGTGTAGAATCCATCAGCTGTGCAATTACAAGTGACGGAAAATTTGACCACTGAAGAGTTCATGCTTCAACTTCTGAGACTCAGAGGATGCTGCAGTGGAAGTCATCAGCCACCTTGGCAAAAAAAGAAATGGTTCTAAAGATGGAGGTGAAAAGCCTGGTAATAAATTAACAAAATTGCCATTTGTAAGCAACAACAGCACAGTCAACACTTGCACTGACACCATATAAAACTGAAGATGTGTCCATATTAAGTTACTTTGAACCCTCAAGAATCAGAAGGCACACACTAAAAAATATCACACCAATAGTAGTTGAATTATTTACCATACTATATACTTTACCATGCACTACAGTAGTTTTGTATAATGTTACTTGTTGACATAAAGTAAATACAAATGATCTACCATCCAAACAGCCGCTCCTCAGGCAGGTGAGCAGAAGATACCAGCACTCGTGAATAATGTACTGAAAGTCACTTTTTCACATAAGCAGTAAAAGTGCTACAGTGCATTAGCATATTGCCTCATGCTGAGAACCAGTCATACACAAAAACATTTGTGTTTGCATCTAACTGACAGTAACCAAATACAGCATTATTTCATAGGTCAAGGAACATTTCATGCAGCAGGAAGTTACAAATCACATTTTTAAAAAATGTTGTTCATTTTGGCACATCCACTGTGCTTCACCACTATGTCAAAGATGCTCCTTGATGCTAAGCTGTCAGTTTAGGGCAGTGATTCTCAAACATATTTTGTCATTCCCCACTTAAGAGGGTGGGCGAATTTTCAAGCCCCACTTGTCAAAAAATGAAATCGGCCAATTTTTTAATTTCAAATGTCTTGAAATATCAAATAACACCAAGTTCAAAACAGATAAAATATAAGTGCAACTGTATCGTTTGACAGGGGGATAGTTTTCAATTTTGCAGCACTTGTCTCATCCAGCATAATCGACACCATGTCTACAGCACTTCGTACAATATATGCCCTCTGTGTGAACACTTCCTTATATTGTTGCGCGGCAGTTAACATGCCGACGGTAAACCGTTATTGTTGCACTATGGTTCCACTTTTTTCCCCCGAGGACTGAACTGATGTTATTTTAATTTACTTGTATTAATGACCCATTTCTAATTATTTTCGTTCATTGTGCCCCACCTGTCATGTCTTTATTCCCCATTAGTGGGGCACGCCCCACACTTTGAGAACCACTGGTTTAGGGTAACATTAGCAGATTAGTCCTCCTTAATGTTGGGCAGTTGAGAGGCGACAGTGGTGCGGTGGGTAGAGCGGTGGGTAGAGCAGTCGTCTCCCAACCAGAAGGTTGAAGGTTTGAATCTCAGTGCCTGCAGGCCACATGTCAAAGTGTCCTTGGGCAAGACACTGAGTTACACAAACAATTCTGCTGCTTTATTTCCATGTCTTCTACATACTGTAGATCATCAACAATGAGGATGCTACATTTCTGTCTAAAGGATGCAGTTCAATCAGCTGTGTACCTGGCCATCACTCTAGAACTGGCTCCCAACAGCAAATGGCATGACAGCAGCTGGCTTCAAAAACCTCTGGCCCTGTACTGAGCAGCAGCAACTGTACACATACAGGATCTCACAACCTGAATACATTTCCAAGAGCTCTGAGAGAAAGGGTAGGGTGGCAGGGGTGCACATAAAAATGTTTCAGTGCTTCACAAATACCAGCAAAATGTCCTCACATTAATCCTCTCTCTGCCTGAGAAAGTTGCAAGTTGGGATCCAGTGAGACACACACATGCATGCAGGCATGCCAAGTCACATGCATAAGCATTTTCAACAAGCTGGGGTCAGGACCTTTCCAAAAGACTACTGTTAGTTCACTGAGCCCAGTTTTTACAACACTCTGGTCTCCTGCATATTGCCTGTTCATGTTGTTTTAGTTGAGGGTCTGGAGCTTATAGACAGGAACTCTGATAAGATTCACTGTAGGAGTTATATCATTGTGTAACAGCACACCGTATATGCAACTGTGCCTTATGAAAGTGAAGAATTCAAAACCTGAACCGCAGAGTCTCTCATAAGAGAGCCATCATATCCAGAGCCATGATTTATAAAAGTGTGCTCACATCAAAATCAACACCCGATATGAATGTCTCCATTTCTGTCATACTGTATATCAAAGTAAAACAGACTCCAATTATTACCCAGTGACAAGTGGGGGAGAGATATTTAATTTGTTCTTTGAAATACTCTTTGCAATAATGAGCAAATTAAATCTAGAATAAATAACTGACTATTTTATATAATTGAGGCAAAAGGACCAGACACCTGATTGACTGCGTGTTTGTGCAAAACTACTGAGCACCATACTGCTTTCCAACTTTTTTCATTATTGTCCATCTTCTCTCTCTGGGGTAGAAAGCTCAGGCTGAGATGAAGAACATGTGACCATAACACTACGAAACCAATTTTTGCTAGTCTTTCTGTGTCTAATCCACCAAGCTCATGAAAGAACAATATAACATTTCCTATGACACAGTTGAAGAACCTCTGACATATGGCCAAGCAATGAGACCGCACGCATGAAAGCCAACTTTTTTTTTTTTTTTTTACTGTTCAACCAAGTACCATGTTCTTTGCCAGCAACAGCTTGTTTCACATTCACATATCACAGTCACACAGCTGCACACAGTCACACCTGGGGGCTGAACACTACAACAGCCTCCTTCTGTTGTCCATTGGGAGCCATTCAATTAAACTTGCTTTCTTTTGTTGGCCACTGAAAATGTTCAAGGTTAAGTTCACTGCTCAAGGGCACATTGTGTTTCAGGTAAGGAAAGTGAAGACGCAGTACATTCCAAATTATTCCTTTGCTTTTTATACCCATATTTTGGTGGCCCAATGATCAAAAGCATGCTTCACTAACTGAAATACCTCAACAAAAAGTAGGAACAGCAAGGACAAACCTTGGAATAAAGTACAAATTTAACTCCCCTTTTTCTTCTTCTTCAAGTGAAATTAAATACAGAAATGTAGTTATTGTTCCCACTATGCTATAAAGTTGAAAAAGAGAGTTTGCTACAATAATAGCTCCGCCACCAAAATGTTACTGGGAATTTCAACTTTTAATTAAAATACAGAGATGCAGTACACATTATAACTGAGTCTTTCAAAAATATAAACAAATCATGTATGAAGGGAGGTCATTTTTACCTAAGTATAAATGGAAGATGGCTATTCTGCTGTGTTACTAAACATCCTTGTGTTAAGCTGTCACAGTCTGTCAGGTTCAGACATCAGTCAATAAATCATTTTTAAAAGTAGCTGCAGCTCCAGTGTTCTGTTTCCAAGTGGGCCGACAACCTCATAGCGAGACTTCATGCAAGCTATTTGGAACTCAGAATGAGCCCGTCTGTCAGACCAAACAGAAGGCAGCAAGCTGCTGCTCAGGTTATTTAAAAATAAGTGTGTACTTTGGCCTCTTAACCCACCATGTCCCCATGTCACACTGCGCTGTAAAGTGAAAGTAACAATTTGTACATGTAGCATGTTGAGCTATTCACTGCAGCATGCTAAGGCAGATATTCACCTCATGAGGAGAAGTGGTCTTGTTTGTGGCCATTTATGCCCAGAAAACATGGTGTCCTTACCAATTTAAAACTTAATCCCTGTTGTACTTTTTCTACCATGTTTCTCCTGCCTTTTATATTTTTCTTCTGTCTAAATATAAACTGATACTGTGCGTAGGCTATTCAACAAGATGTCTAACAACCTCCACCTAAGAACAAATTCTTAATTTCTCCTGCCCCTTGATAAATGCAAACTCATCTGTTATCCTGTATCTTGTATCTGTTATTCAGAAAAATTTACATTCCGCAGCATTAAATCCATCAGGAGAACAAAATTATAATGTCACACCATCACATTCTGCTGCTCTGACATTATCTAACAGAAATATTGATTTCATTCAATAATTATTTATAGTCACTTCCACTCTGTCAGTTTTTAGATAGCATTTAGTGTTATGGAGTTTGAGTCCAGTGTGTGATATTGTGATTTTTAATTGATACGTTTTAACCCAAGCCACGATCCTTTCCGAAACATAACCACACAAAAACTGTTTTTATGTGTAAAGCCAAGTTGCTTCACATTTTCTGAGGTACGTTTGGCATCTCATTCTGAAACGAACAGGTTAACACTGCTTACTATTAAAAACCGTCTATGTCTTATACAAACGCCAGAGGTACCCTTTAGGGTCAGCAAAAGGTGCTTGACAAAGTGTAAATATGTGAGGTCCTAGGATGAGAACCTGTTGCACTATATACAGTATGTTGGAGGCAATTGGAAATCATTTATAAGCAAAACCAGTATTTCAAAAACTCAAAACAGCAGAGAGATGAGAAGGATATGACATTTGACTGTTAACTTTACCTGTCAGGGGACTCGGGATCAAAGCAGGTCTTGAGGACATCTGTGACCTCCGAGTCACAGCAGTCACCATCATCATAGTCATAGTGTATACTGTTGCATTCCATGTTACAAACCCCATCCTGTCTCTTCCAGTTATAGCAGGGTCCCAGTCGAAGGCAGTCCCCTCCATCATGGCCCGTTCTTGGATGGTCACACTCAAGGTCACATTGACGATTACCAATCTTTCCAATTCGACAGTTGCTGAGAATGAACCGTTGTCGGAGGCTGGAATTTCTGACAGTGTGTACATTCAGATCTAGGGTGATATTGTAAGGGTGAAAGGCATCAGTCAGAGCCTGGTGTTGAAGCTGGATCTGGGCTTGTGTCACAGTGGGGTTTCCACCATCATCATTGCAGAGGTTAACGATCCGGTAGCGAATTTGCTTGGGGGTACGGAGCTGCCAGTTGACATTGTAGCCAAAGATAATGTCGGTGTTATCGCAGAGTGTCAGGCCACAGGGTGGTGGCAGAAATGAGGAGACAAGTTCTTGTTCAGGGACAGGAGTGGTGATAATGGTTGGATGGAAGCCATTTTTATGTGGCATCCATAGCTGTTCCACCTAATAACCAGAAAATATTATAAGACAAAATAATCAATATTTCAATTAACTTTACAACTATTAATGAATTTCAATACATAAACATTAAATAGGCAATGCTAATGAAGACCAAAATAAAATCTCCCAAATTTATAATATTATGACAAATGAAAATAGCTTATTTCTAGAAAGGCTGAACAATTGACAAGGTAGAAACTAATTATAGCCACAGTTACATAGTTACATTAGAGAAGTCAGCCCACATCGCCAACACTGGCTTGTTGTTGTCAAGTTGAAGCGGCCTCTTCAGCAGTTCCTTATGAGAGCGGGCATAGCCCCACAGGATCATACCCCCTATATAACCTCTGAAGCCATGCCCCTGATCTGATTGATTGCTGCCGAGGAAGAGAGTTCTGCAGGTCTTCATGTAGGGACTGTATAGATTCCCTGACTGGAGACTGCTTTCTCCCACCTGAGAGGAAAAGCAGAAGGGAAAAAAGCAGCATATTAAAATAATGCTGATTTTGTTCAAAGCAGGGATGTTGGTAAATCAGTGTTAATTAATCAATTCCGATGGTATCTGTTGTCCACAGCTGCTTTACTGTATGAGAAGCTTCTCCTTCAGTACATTAACTCCCCGCAGCCATCGGAAGGCAGCAGGACGTACTATGTGAATAAAGAGACATGCTACATCAGAGTGCACCGCCATTACACATAGCTATACACTGTGGTTATCGGTTATTCTACTGTTTATGCATGACACCATACTGTAACAAAGTAATCATCTACAATAGTACACACATAAGGCTGGTCTGTTATGATTCAGTATTCTGCCACTTAAGTGGGAAACATCCGGTCACATCTCAGCAGTCCTGCCTCTATTCCTCAAAAGCAGTACAGTGCAAATATAGCAGTGACATTTTACAGTACTGTAGGATGCGACCATTTATGATGTGAGGTACAAAAAAAAACAGTAATGTGTCAGATTAATGTGGTCATATTAACGTTTGATTTTTTATCATCGTACAAGGTAAATAAAAACCCAGTACACCCACATAGTCTATGCACTCAAGGTTATTGATAATCCAATCTGTTATTTTCAAATGTTAATAGTAACATTTGACATTAGAGCAAGTGGTATCATTTAAGTGTTAAATGTCTTTCTGGGCATTGGTAGTAGCAGATTGACAGAGCAATCCCAACTGCATCCACCTGCTAGTTTTTGCAGAGCCACACAGCATTCTTTTTTCATCAGGTGACATAATGATGGATTCGATAACAGGCAAGCTTTTTCCTAAGGTTCTGTTTGGTGGCAAGTGGACTTGGCTTGAGGTTCCTTTTTTTTTTTTTTTTTGTTTTAATT